GACCCGGGGTGCGGGGTCCCCGGGGCTGTCAGGTGGATCGGGCCCTGGAACCGGGGCGATGGGAGGGCCGGGGCCTCGCGGGCCGGAGAGGATGCAGGGAGCCTCCTTCCTTTCCTCTCCGTGGAGCTTTGTTGAACCAGCTGTTGCCGCGAAGCTGCCGGGAGAGCCCCGTGGGTTTGCCGTGGGCACCGCCAACGTGGTGGCCCCGGGGGGCTCTGTGTGGACGTGGCCCGGCGCCGCGTGGACTCTCGTCTGCGTGGGGCCCATGTCCCTCCACGGCTACTCCTTGTAGGTTCGTGCACTTGTCTCGCTATCACGCAGAAGAGGAGCAGCGTAGACCTGCCTGCTTTGCGATGGTTAAGCTGACGGCTGGTTGTGTCTCCTTGTAGCAGAACAAATAAATAAATGAAAAAGCTGCATCCAGAGTAAAGCCTGTTGATGGGAGGAGGCCCGTCCAAGTGTGCGTCGCTGGCGGCTGGGAAATGCGTGTGTCCCGCCGACCCGTGCGGTGGTCGCGCGGTTCCGTTTCCATTGCCCTGGGATGCGCGGGTTCGGCCCCCACCCCGGGCGGGGGCATCTCTGCAGGTGGCAGAGCTGGCAGGGGCTGCGAGTGCTGCGTAGGTAGGGTAGGTGCCTGGAGGAGGGAGGGGCCAGAACCCGGAGTCGCTCGGTGCTGAGGTTGGAGGCGATGTGGACAAAAAAATGAGAAGACATCACCTGCTCCTGCCCCGAGAAGTGAGGACCGCAGACATGCAGAGACTGGCGGCGGCTGGAGGCGCGTCTTCCTCCCCGGCACCGACTGGCCGCCCACGTTCCCGCAGGGAGCTCTGGAAGAGGAGGACGCGGTCTTGGACTGGACCCGGATTTCGGGGTTTCGCTTGCTGCCTGGTTTCAGGGGCTCGCTTTGTTCCCTCTGTCAACATCCATTCACTCTCTCGGCTGAAGAGGCTTGGTAGTGATCGCTCAGACTGCCTCAGCAACATCCCCTTCCGACACTTTTTAATCTTTTCGGTATTTATCATTGGGACTTTCGAGATGACAAAGTACTACTGGAGCTTTTGGATTTCCCCCAGTTACTTTGGCTAATCCGGAAAGCTGTGCCCGAACATGACGCGAATACTCACCTGCGAGAGAAGAGGAGCTCTGCCGCCGCCTTTTTACATCCCGAAGAGGCCCCAAAGAGCCATTTAACAATTTGCACGTTTCTTAGGTACACGTTCTTTATGATGGCCTATTTCTCCAATAAACAGCATTGAAGAATGAACTTTCATTGATGATGTCATTCCTGAGCCCACTGAGAGGAACAGAATTGTGAAATTATGCCTGCCTCTTCAAGTTGACAACATTTAATTCTATAAACTCCAAAACGTAGAATCCAGTAGAATGGGTGTTAACACCTGTTTTACATTTGCCAACACTTTAATGTCAATTTTCATTAATCCTCACAATCTGCTGCCTAACCCTGAACTCTGAATTTATCATGGATAATATCCAAGACCCAGAAGGAATATCGGGAATCATCTGATCTTACATATATATGTTGCCCTAACTCTGCCTTTCTTGCACACTGTTGCTTGAGACTTCTTTATCTGGTTTCATCTTCTTAAGTTAGCAACCAAAACTAACCCCTAAGCTGCAGTAATATCCTGATTTTAAAGTACTTAGAAAGTTAGACTCCATCAGTTGCCTAGGTGGGTGGCACAGTTCGTTTACTATGTTTAATTACTGTTTTTTTAAGCTTGTGGCTGCTGCCCCAATATTTTAGTGAATTGGACTTCCTTCAGGCCTCATTCTCTCTCTTTTTTTAATGGGTTATTTAATCCTATATTTATAAAATGCTCTTCACTGTTTTTTATGGAAATTTAAATAGTAGCAGGCCAATTCTAATACATATTGTGCCTTTGAGGATCAGCTTCTAATTTTATGTTCCCTTTCAGAGCTCCTTAAATTCACTGATTGTTTTCCAAAGCAGTCAGTTATGAGACAGAGAGCACTTTTCATAGTGCAGTAAGAGGCCATTGTTTTCTTAGACTGTCTTCAGAGGTACCGACTTATGTTTTGACAGTTGCTCAACTCTTTTATGTTAGTTTTGATATTGCCAAAGGGAACACCTGGTTATAAGGCTCCAGACCTGCCTTTGCTTCATATAGAAGTGCATTTTGTTGTTGACAACAGATGGTGGCCATATTGATGACGTAGAATAGTTAAGATTTTTATTCTCCATTTCTCAAACATTCTTTGCCAAAATTCATTTGGCAGGGGAAACATTTAACTTGAAATGTAAAGTAGCGGTATCTCTTGGCATTATCAGCCTATGAAAACTAATGGGATCTATATATTTTTCTAATAAACTCAGTATTTCAGGGCCAATGAGATGATACGCTATTTTCAAATGAATGGATATAAGTCCCTAGGACATTCCTCCTCCCCTCACGCCTTTTGGATTTAGTGCCACGTGGGTGGAAAGAGGAGGACAGTAATTTCTATTGGAGAAAGTTTAGTGCTAAACATGAAAAACTGGCTATATTATGTACCCTTCCTCCTTATATTTGTACATGAGACCTAACTTTATATCCCCTTCATTTCCTTAGAAAAGACCTTTGAGCAAGCAGTTTTTCAGTTTATCTTTAAAATAATTCAGTTCATTTTGTTGTTTTTTCTTCACTCTAGCTTCTCTTACCTTGACCAAGTCCACTCTTCATTCCACTTCTTAGAAAAGTAAAGAAATGCTTTTTTATGTTTCTTAATCTTGTAAATCGTTCTAGGTAATACTTTTTTCTTTGTACTTTCAAATTAGGCAGATCTGTGCATTGTATTTTATCTGACTTGTGCTATTAAGTTGAACATTTCCCTTGTTAATGAAATTCATCTTCTCTTTTACAAAAGTTACATATTTCAGTATTATCCACATCTACGTAAAGGGATTGGCAGTGTCTCATTGAAGTGTCCTTCAGCATTTCTAAATTTCACTGTAGTAATGCAGGGAAAATAAAACGTAAACAAATGACCAATCAGATCAACTTTTAAGCATTTCTCTAACTGGATGAGAGCATTTTCAGTATATTTAGTATATAATTTTTAAATTTCCTGCAAAGATTTCCTGCAGGAATTGTGACATTGCCTGTCCTTAAAGTATTTGAAGAACTTTATCTTAGTGTGTAGTTCACAGCTTGGTATCTTCAAAGTCAAAATGGACATGTAACTTAAATGCCAAAAAATAATAACAAATTCAAGACATAAAATTTGTATGTTACAGTAATTTTTCAAATTACTGAAATCTTAATAATCGTAAATATTTTGTCACCAGTTGACAAATATTCTTACTTTCACCTAGCCTTTAAAATGTTAAAGGCTGATAGTGTTGAAAGCTGTCATAGGGCCAACTAATATAAGAAGTGTACCTATTTTTACACTTCTGTGATTTGAGCAAATTCATATAGCCTAACAAAATGTATGCAAAACATATCCTTTGGCTCTGGCTGGTTTGGCTCAGTGTGTAGAACATCAGCCTGTGGACTGAAGGGTCCCAGGTTTGATTCCAGTCAAGGTCATGTACCCAGGTTGCGGGCTCGATCCCCAGCACTGGGTGTGCAGGAGGCAGCCGATCAATGATTCTCTCTCATGATTGACGTTTCTGTCTCTCCCTCTCCCTTCCTTCCTCTCTGAAATCAATAAAAATATATATGTAAAAATATATATATGCTTCAAAGATCTTTAATATCCCTATAATGTCATTGTTATGTCTGTCTAAATGGCAGTGCAGTAGACTTTAGCCTGTTGCCAATCCAAATGGTAGGAGTTTGTAGTCTCGAATGTGGTGCAATCTGTCTTCCTCCGCATCCTGCTTTATCTGCATTTCGTAACCATATTGAACCTATCCCTCTGACTTAATGTCGGTGTTTACTCTATCTCAGTGTTGTCAGTCCTGTTGGCATTTCAGAAATTCTCATTTTGAAGTAATTTTTATGTGGGAGGTATTTTATATACTTCCTCAAACAACTTTAATTCATGAATCAAATCAAATTAAGGCAAGTGCACTTCCTACAGTTTCAACCCCACTCTATTGACAAACAGAATGAGGAGGTGATAAAACTCCTTTACGCCTTGCTGCCCTTCCGGTCTGCCCTTGGATCACCGCGCATTTCCATCTGGAAGGTTGCATCTCCACAGTGATGTCGCATTACAGGAAGGTTTTCCTTCTTTGTTTCTCAGGCCTGGTCCTGGAGACGGGAAGGAGTCTGGACACAGTGACACTTCTCAAAGGCCCTGCAGGACCGCCATGGCTTATGATGACGCCGTGAAGAAAGAAGGTATGACCCCTTAATCCGAGAAGCATTTCAAAGGGTGTGTCCTCTGCAATCCTTGCAGCCCATGGACCTAGAGACCAGGACTGGCCATCACAGCCTGGACTCCCAAGTGATGATCCAGAGCACTGTTAAGCCTCCACGTCATCCCCAGACTGGGCCCATGGAACGAACACCTACACAGGGTTCCAACACAAGAGTCTGAAATATAGTGTATTGGGGCGATCCCCCGCAGCACTCGTGGTCCTTGCCAGCTCAATGTGCAGGAGTCTGGGGTAGGAATCACACATTGGACTCCCACAGAGCAGCACAGCACGCGAATCCTTGTTCTTTTCAGCCTTACCTCTGCAAGTCGGTGTCCACCTGCCAGATCACAACTGAGAACCATGTCTGAGAATGCACGTTGGGCCTTTCCATAGCATAGAAGTATTGCTTCTTCAGGTTTGATTCTTGTATTTGCAGCCAGGTCTTCAAGGAATATTCTTGTCTCCTTGGATTTCATGTTCCCGTGGACTTACTGAATCATTATTTTAATTTGGAGATGGAGGGACAGTTGCATTACAGATGTGATTTGGTTGTTACTTACTTGACTTTGTCATTTCCTTTTCTTCCCAAATGAACCTGTGCTTCTCAGATTGCTTCGATGGTGATCACAGCTTTGAGGACATAGGACTAGCAGCTGGCAGAAGCCAACGAGAGAAGAAACGTTCTTACAAAGATTTTTTAAGGGAAGAGGAAGAAATCGCTGCTCAGGTCAGGAATTCTTCCAAGAAGAAGTTAAAGGTAAATTCTAAACATTTGAATTAGGAAAGTTTTAAACTATCACATATCGTATTTCCTAATAGTTGGAGAAAGAATTTCTGTTAAAAGCTTTTAAAAAGAAAAACAAACATCTTTTGTATCTATTTTCATTATTTTCTGTTTTATTTTGTTTCCCGAAGTCAGAAATCATCGAAAAACAAGATTGGTTCCAAGCTACTTTTGCCTCATCATCTTATTCATGGGTCAATTCTTCCTCTTTAATTCCAGGATAGTGAATTTTACTTCTTGGGGACGGACACACACAAGAAGAAGAGGAAGCACTCCTCTGATGATTACTACTATGGAGGTAAGGATGGGAAGGGGCAGCCGGTGGGACAAACACATCACTGGTTCTTGGAGTCGGGGTAGGGGAAAGGGATCCAGATGTTGCTGACTCAGTGGCCTATTTAACAGGACAGTGGTTCTTGTTCTGAGTGCCGATAAACCAGTGTGAAGGAGGAGAGAGGTGGAGGGCTGGTATTTTGGAGGATTCAGCATAGAAGAACAGTCTTCATTTGTGATACACCAGGTACCAGGTTCCTTCTCTCCCCAATCACCCACTTATCTTGTGCCCACTGTTATCTAGCATCCCTTTTACCATAAGTCATCCTGGGCCCTCTGGCCTGCACCTACGGGTTAATTCTCAATCCAGTGGACATCTGCTCATAGACCACCTTTTCTTAGCTGTGTGATGCACATAGCTGACAAAACTAACTCTTCACTAGAATGGGTCTGTCCTGGACACAGAAACAAACAGTACTCTGTCTGCAGTAAACCTGAATTGTAACCTAGTTGACCCTTGAACAACACGGGGGTTTGGGGCACTGACTCTCGCACAGTTCAATCCACATATAACTTTGACTTCCCAAAAACTTAACTGCTAATGGCCTATTATTGACCGGAAGCCTTACCAATAACATAAACAGTCAACACGTATTTTGTATGTTATATGTATTACATACTTTACTTTTACAATAAAGTAAGCAAGAGAGAAGACAATGTTATTAAGGAAATCATAAACAAGAGAAAATACATTTATAGTATTTATTGAAAAAACCTGCATATAAGTGGACCCGTGCAGTTCACACCATGTTGTTCAAGGGTCACCTGTCCTCATAATCCCACAGCTATAAGCTATTCTGTGTATGCTCTGTGGTTGCTGGTGAAGACTCAGTGAAGAAAAACAACTGTAGTGGCGAGAACTGTCTCCAGGGTTAGAGGCAGGGTCTACCAGGCCAAGAAGCACATGGGCATCCTCTCTGAATGTTAGGAATCAATTGAAGGACCTCCCCTTAAATCACTCCTGTTGGCTTCTTCCTGGTGTTAGTTGGGTGTTTGGAGGGGGGTGGCGGGGGGGAGAGGGGAAACTTGTTGGAAGTTGCTTTGTCACATGGACACTACTTCTCTTGGCTATTTCTAGATATTTCGTCTTTGGAATCGTCACAGAAGAAAAAGAAAAGGTCCAGCCCGCAAGCTGCTGATACAGCTATGGACCTGCTGAAAGCTATCACTTCCCCGCTGGCCGCAGGCTCCAAGTCCTCCAAGAAGACAGGGGAGAAGTCCTCTAGCTCTTCTAGCCACTCGGAGAGTAAAAAGGACCACCACAGGAAGAAAATCAGTGGAAGCAGCGGGGAGCTGTCCCTGGAGGATGGTGGTTCCCACAAATCCAAAAAAATGAAACCTCTCTTTGTGAATACCGAGACCCTGACCCTCCGTGAGCCTGACGGTTTAAAGATGAAGCTCATTCTCTCCCCAAAGGAGAAGGGAAGCAGCTCCGTGGAGGAGGAGTCTTTCCAGTACCCCTCTCAGCAGGGGGCTGCGAAAAAGTCCTCTAAGAAATCAGCTCGGGATGAGCAAGGTGCTTTACTCCTCGGACACGAGTTACAGAGCTTTCTGAAAACAGCCCGGAAGAAGCACAAGTCGTCCTCAGACCCACATTCGTCTTCTGGCCCTGAAGGCTGTGGGTCTGATGCCTCCCAGTTCCCAGAACCCCACAGTGCTAATCTGGATCTTCCAGGGCTTGAGCCTATCCTAGTAGAATCGGACTCAACCTCTGGAGGGGAGCTCGAGGCTGGTGAGTTGGTGATAGATGACTCTTACCGGGAAATCAAGAAGAAAAAGAAGTCAAAGAAAAGCAAGAAGAAGAAGGACAAGGAGAAGCATAAGGAGAGACGCCATTCCAAGTCCAAGAGAAGTTCAGGCCTTTCTGCCGCAGTGGTGGGAGAGATCACAATGACTCCTGGCCCTCCTCCCAGCATCCCCTACCCTGGAGCAGCTGCCCCTCCCCCACCGCTTCCTGGCCTCCACACTGATGGGCATAGTGAGAAAAAAAAGAAAAAAGAGGAAAAGGACAAAGAGAGAGAAAGAGGAGAAAAGGTAAAACATTTTTTAAAGTGTGGTGGGGTTAAGAGATGAAGCAGGGCCCTGGCTTCATCTGGTTGGAGCATCGTCCCGTGCATAGAAGGGTCACTGGTTCGATACCCGGTCCGGGCGTGTATGGGAGGCAACTAACTGATCCATGTTTCTTTCTCACAATGATGTTTCTCTCTGTCTCTACCTCTCTAAAATCAATTTTTAAAAAACATATCCTCAGGTGAGAATTTAAAGAGAGAAAGAGACAGAGAGAGAAAGGCAGGTTTGTCCTTGATGTAGTAGGTAGATGTGGAAATAAGCAGCGGAGGTGAACCACTGGGAATGTAGCAAGGTAAATCTCTTGGAATAACACAAAGTATAAAATATTACCAATGGCTGAGTCTGTCTGATACAAAACAGCAATCTTAACTATTCATGGTTTTTCTTAATGGAGTTGTTGTCCCACTGTGTCAAGCATAGGGAGGGTGGCCAGAGAAAGCTTAAAGAAGGAAAAGGATGTCAGTGGACGGGAACGCATGGAGGCAGAGAGATGTTTAGGAAGTAGCATTGCAAAACTACTGAATTTCAGTCCTGCGTTTCTAGCTGCCCAGTACAGCTTTCAACCTGAATGCCTTGGGTACTTCACATCCCCAAACCTGCATCTCCTCCTTTATCTCTCTCTGTATTCCCCATTTCCTGCCACTCAATCCAAACTCAAAACTATGTGCTTACATGGACTGTGTGGGAACTGGACTTGTTTCCCGTACATTCTTACCACCATTCCTCTGCTCATTTTCTTCTAAGCCCTCTTCCCCTCCTCACGTGTTGAAGCTGTGCATTCCCTTCAAGACTTAATCAAATGCCACCTCTTCTAAGACATCCCAACACTCCAGTCAGAATTAACTTCTTGATTGATTTGAGAGAGAGAGAAAAACATCGATTTGTTCCACTTATTTATCAATTCATTGGTTATTTCTTGTATGTGCCCTGACTGGGGATTGAACCCACAACCTTAGCATATCGGGACGCTCTAACCAACTGACCGACCCAGCCAGGACCAGAATTAACTTCTGAACTCTCATAACACCTTGCTGTCTCTCCCTTATTGCACTTACTGCCATCTTTGTACATGTTCCATTTCCCCTGTTAAAGACTATTAGCTTCTTACAGGTGTTTTAACTCAGCAGGGGCTGTTTTAGTCACCTTAATAGTGCCTTCAATTCCTTTATGTCCTTGGTAAGCATTTTGTGATATGGCAAATGAGTGACTATGTCGATGAAAACATGTATTAAAAAACGCAGGTTGGGAGCAGATGGCAGAGAGTTTTAAATTCCAAAATAAAGGATTTGGCGGTGGACACTTTGGGGTTATGAGTAGGGTGTAGATATGTTCTAAATCAGCAGTCGCCAACCTTTCGGACCTCACGGACCACCGGTTGGCGACCGCTTTTAAAGGTTTCCTTAAAACAGTGGTCGCCAACCTTTCGGACCTCACAGACCACCAGTGATCTGCGGACCACTGGTTGGCGACCACTGCTCTAAATGATAATTTCAGAATAAAATGATAGAGCTGTACCAGGTGGTTTAGACTGAAGAGAGACTTGAGACAGACAACCCAGAAGCTTATTCTAGTCCAAAATCAGTTGTCAAAGCTGATAGAAATAAAATGGGAGACAGGTTCAGGAGCAACTGAAGGGAAAACTGACATCTGGCCGCTGGGCTTGGATCTGGGAAGCCAGAAATACAAGTGAGCATAAAAATGTCCCTTAAGGTTTTGGACCTAAGTACCTTAGAAAATAAAATTATAATCTCCTCAGTGGTAGGGAGTTGTTTGTCATTTCCCCCATGTGGCCAGCAGTTGCTAGTGAAAAAGAATTATAGTCAGGGCACAAGTCTTCCTGTGAATCAGTATTTGATTGTGACTGTCCAAACCTGAAGCAGTCAGACTTCGAATGTAATAATTTATCCAACAAATATTTATGGGACACATGCCGCGCTTTTTAAACTGCTGTGAAGCTTTAAACAAACATCCTTTCCTGGGTTTTGTTTCAGTATAAAAAAGAACTACCTGAAAGTCCACCTAGACAGAACTGTTTCAGGAATCCTGTTCCCTCAGTCTACAGTGAGCAGAGACTGGAGAGCCAACTGTAGAAATGCTGAAGGCCTCTGTCCCCTTTCTCCCTTAGAGTCTATGACCAGGGCTGTAATCAAAGTAGGAAGCAAGAAGACTGGCTGGTTTGGGAGAAGATAAGTTAGGTTTACAGTTAAGATATAAGCATCAAGAGATTCAGCATATCTAAGTGGTTACGGTAGTGAGCTGTGGAGCCAAAGCACTTGGGTTCAAATCCTGCCTCTGCCACTGATAAGCTCTGCAATGTTGTACAAGCTACACAGCTTCTCCATCTGTAAGCTGGGGGTGATAATAGACCCTAATACAGTGATGGCTAACCTATGACATGTGTGTCAGAGGTGACACGCGAACTCATTTATTTTTGGTTGATTTTTCTTTGTTAAAGGGCATTTAAATATATAAAATAAATATCAAAAATATAAGTCTTTGTTTTACTATGGTTGCAAATATCAAAAAATTTCTATATGTGACACGGCACCAGGGTTTTTAAGTTAGGGTTTTTCAAAATGCTGACATGCCGAGCTCAAAAGGTTCGCCATCACTGCCCTGATAGGACCCATACAGACTGAATGAGATGATGCATGGGGATGTGTTTAGGGCTTCAGTGTGGCAAGGTGCCATAGCAAACTCAAAGGGGCACCATTAGATATTTTAAATATATTAAATTTTCTAAAGAAACAGCAATACTTGACATCTGTCAGAAACCTTGTGAATTACTAGCTCAAAGTAATTCAGTTTCAATTATCTTCTCATGTACATGTCTTTTAATAAAACCATATCGTTTCAAAGCTGGGTTTTCTGTAATTGGTCTGATGGAAAGCAAGTACCATGTGAAAAGTAGGCACCATGAACCAGCAAAGTTTGGGAACTTTGGCTTTGCACCATGTTCAGCACATTAGTGGACAGTTCATAAATATTAGTTGTTAGAATCATCTCACTAGAATTTCCAGAGAGCAATGGAATTGCGAGACCTAGAATTCAGTAGAATGGTTGAAACTAGGGTTAGAATTTGGGTGCTCCTGTGCAGTGAATGAAATATGTGAGTGGACCGGAGGGAATAGAGCACGGAGCAGAATCTTACAGAACACTCACCTGAGAGCACTGGCGAAGGAAGAGGGAGCAGTTGTGTTGGAGGAAAACCAGAGAGGGGTCAGTGTCACGGAAGGGAGGAGACAGGCAGTCTCAGAGTAGACGGTCTCATGCTGGAGAGGACAAATTGTTCCGTGTGGTGGAGAAGAATAGGAGCCAGATGGGTGGGGTTCAAGGGATAGTGAGCAGCGAAGGCAGCAGGGGTGGAACTCTTACTGGAGAATTTTGACTGATACACAGAAGGGAAATTGGACTATCTCCCTAGTGACAGGAAACATTTTCAGTGTTGGGCTCTATTTGGGAGGTGGGTGTTCTTGCTTGCTTGCTTGTATTTTTGTTGTTGAATCTTGCTTTCTAAGAAGGAACAGAGAAATCACATGGTAATAATTTTTTTTGAGCACGGCAGTTTTTAATTGAAGGAAAAATTTCATATATACCAAGTAAGAGACATTCTAAAACAATCAAATTTTAAGATTAAGAAGGTATATATTTTTGGTGTCAAAAAACAAGAAACCTTCCTCCCAAACATGACGTTTCTACAAAGCTAGTAGCCAGAAAAGTAGAAAAGCATGATCTTACTTTCCTGAATATATTTCTCTTATTAAGTACAGAAAAGTGATTCTATGTTCACTATTTACTGACATACTCAGCTGAGCTCACTGGGCAGCCCTGAGCATTCCTTGTGTTACTTATCCGTGATTACTCTTTAATATATAACTTCCTCTGGTGTATCTGTTTGCTCATTTGTGCTGTTTTCCATTTATTCAGGAAATACAAGTGGCTGATGAAACCATAAAACATTGTTCACTGATCGTAACTAGTGAATGAAAGAGCTCACTGCAAATGTGAGCAGGGTTATTCTCTGCAAGATTCATCACATGGTAGTATCTTAATGACTCCCCTTAAAGATCATCCCATTAGAGTGGAAGTTTTTGTGTGTATATAGGAGGCACAGGACATGGTAACATTTCAAAGTTTTATTAAATCAACAAAGCCTATCCACTATCACTCAAAATAATGTGGCCACTTCAGAGAGGGGCCCTTTAATTGTATGTTTCCAGAATGTCCACATTTTCTCTAAGCCAACTAAGGCTAGTCAGGTGTCCTACTGCCTGCACACCCAGGCATTGTTGCGAATCTGCTAAACTACAGTCTGAGCTATAATTAGGCTTGTGATGGTTCTATATACATTCTCCATTGGTAAGACTGAAGCTGAACAATAGCAGTAAGTGGTGAAAGCTAGTAACTGCCATCTGTGAGTGCCTGCTATGTGCCAGGCTTTCCTAGGCATTTTACGTGCATAGCAGTCCTGACTGATAGGTACCATTTGGCAGAGAAAGCTGAAAAGACGTAGAGCCAGAATTTTAACATGGGTTTCTTTAACCCCAAACCTGTACTCTTTCCTTCTACCACATGCCTTTTTAAAACTTTAAGAGATGCCTACCGAGTGCCATAATACCTTTTTTTAAAAAATATATTTTATTGATTTCTTACAGAGAGGAAGGGAAGGGATAGAGAGCCAGAAACATCCATGAGAGAGAAACATGGATCAGCTGCCTCCTGCACGCCCCCCACTGGGTATGTGCCCGCAACCAAGGTACATGCCCTTGACCGGAATTGAACCCGGGACCCTTGAGTCCGCAGGCCGAAGCTCTATCCACTGAGCTAAACCGGTTCTGGCTATAATACCTTTTGACAAAGCTAAAAGTAGGTTGGTTCTAGGTCAGAGGAAATCAATATAGTGTGCTGCTGTCTGAGATTAGTCCTACTAAGACGTATGTAAAGATGTTTTTAAATTAATGAGG